CCACTGCCCCTCCGGGTCCTCCCTGCATCTCTGGACATCTGGATGCACAGTCAGTGTCCCCATCACTAGGCCAGGGGCCAGCCTCCTCCAGGCACAGAGCTGAACTTGGAGGAACTGGAATCTGCATCAGGTCCAGCTGTCCGTCCCATGACATGGCCCCTCCCAGTAAATAGATCTTAGCTTTTTTGAGTCTTCTTCATGCAAAGTTTCCTCCGTCCACCTCTTCCTCTCAGATCCAGTTCCTAGAGGGACAGTGATGGGCCAGGGGGCTGGGGCACGTGTCCTTCTTGACCTGGTGCCAGCCCCACAGCTATGTGAGTTTCAGAAAGTTCTTCCCACCCTGCCCTGAAGATTCATGGACTTTCTTCCACATGAGCTGCACTTTGCATTAGGCTGTAATCAAAAGTTTGCACTAAAAACAACGCACCCAGGATCCTTTTTGCGGAAATGCCCGAATATGCCAAGAGCTTTGGGGGCAATCACACCAGAGAGACTCGCCCGACACATTGCATCTGAACAGAGCACTCATCACTTGAGGATGAGTGGACGAATACGTTGGCGACCCGTGGACCGCTGGATAAATGCATGAGCCAGGGGATGAATGAAGGGGTGAACGTCAGCACTTTCGTGCAGGAACCGCGTAATTCACGGGCACACCAACCAACTACAGTAAGAAAGGAGGAGGAAGTCACTGGCCCTTGGAGGAACCAAGATGAAAAAAAGAAATGATGGGGGAAAATGAGAGAAATCACCCTCAGTGGACCCAGGAAAGAATAAACTAAGGTAAAGAAGGAGGAATAAATTCACACAGGACAAGTGTGAATGAAAACCACCTGTCACAGAGGCAAGTGAATCAATGCAAAAGTATTTTCAGATAAGCCAAGGAACGATTGTGCGAATGCCTAAATAGGTAAAGGGTTCCAAGTGTTCTGGCTGAACACGGGGGGAGTCGTTTTCACAGCAGAAAACTCCCAACTTGTAGGAAAGTGTCTCCGCTCCCCGATCCGGGTCCTAGGTCTGGGAAAATGAGTGTGTTCCTCTCAGAGAAGGTTCCTAAAGCAACTTCAATTTAGATGTAATAGGAATATGACTGAACAAATATCACAAATGCCGTTGGAAAACCACTTACTCCTCGGGATTAACTCTGGATTCAGCGGAAAGAGCTAAATAGAATTGACTGCATTGTTTTCCAATTATGTTGCAGATAATTACCTATTATGTAGCAAAATGCCAGCATGATTTTAATAATCGCTGTTTAAATAACACATTTTCACTGTCTCCCTGCAAATTAACCTCAGGGAGATGTGATTAATGTTGGCATGGGAAGGTTGGGGATGAGGAACTGACAGAAGCTGTCCCTGTGAGTGTCCAGTGGGACCCCAAGGCTGGTGATGCTGTAGACAGAGCTTGATTTCGAAGACTCTGGTCCAGGACATTCAATAAATCATCCCTTATCTGGACCTAGTTCCCCAATGCCTCAGACACAATAAGATTGCAACATAAACCTGGAACAGGGTTGGTATGAGTCCAAGCCCAGGCCCCCAGACTGAACGTGGGGACCAAGTGTCACTCCTAAGTATGTTCTCACACCCAGTGCAGGACCCAGCAAATAGTAGGTGTTCAGTAAATGGCGACTGAAGGATGGAAGTGACCAAGCTCCTTTCCATGGGCACCCATCGTGCACTGCTCTCGCCGTGAGGATTCAGTTAAGGGAATGGCAGTTTGAGGCTCTTTCCATGGGACAGAATCTTGGATTCTCAGGTGTCTGACCTCAGGAGAGTGTGATCTTTACAAACCAGGGAACAAATCCTCTCGATAGTCACAGGGTCCCCCCACCACCACCACCCCGGGGACAGAGTCCAGAGAGGATCCAGAGACAGAGATGATAAAAGGGGAAAAGCCTACTGTTCCCGTGGAAGTGACACAGTATCCCTTATTACCTGAATTAGTGTCATCACACTCATATCAGCTGAGGGATTTCCAGGTCCCAAGCCTGTCTCTGTGCGTTAACTTACTTAACCCTTGTGACAATCTCAGGAGGAAAGTACCGTTATTATTCCTATTTTATAGATAAGAAAGCCGAGACTCTATGGCTTAGAAGAGGAAGGTGAGTGGGGACATGTTTGACTTGGTGGTCAGGAGGCTCGGAGCTCACTTCTGTCTCCATTTGGTGTGGTTGGCCTTGAAGATGAGTCCATGTCTGAACTTCTGGGAGCGGGGAAAGGACCCCTGCAGTACCTGGGCAGTAGTAGGGGCTGGAGAGAGAGATGCCATCCCTTCACTCTGAGGTCAATGCCAAGGGCCCTGACATTTGGCCCTGGGTACCTTCAGGCCTGGGCATGCCCAGAGGGGGACAATAGGCCTTTAGCAAGAGATGGATTGGCTGAGCTACCTTCTGGGGGCTGTCCCCTGGTCCATGGGGCACCGACAGCCCAGGGACCTGTAATCCTGACATTGTTTCCAGGGCTCAAGCCTGTCCCATCAAGCAGCAGCAGACATTCAACATCGATTCTGAAAATCCTTCCAGCAGAAGAGCTGAGTCCCCACATAGAAGCTCAGAGTCAGGTAAATGCAGGAAGAGAGAGGACGCCGGACCTCACGGAGAGGCGTGTTCCCCTTTAACCACCAGACTGGTTTCCGCCGTTGTCATGGCGACATTTTTTGTCTTCCCGGCATCCTGAGGACCAGCTCCCCCGCGTCCTCACCGACACTTGTTATTTCCAGGCTTTTCAGCGTCAGCCCCTCGGGCAGGTGCTCCGCGGCACCTCCAGCTTTCCTCTGCATCCCTGGTGACTGATGGCTGGAGCACCTTCTGGGACGCTTGTGGGCCACTCACGCACCTTCTTCTTTGATGACTTTTTAATGGAAAACACATTTGCATCCAAACCGAAATTATGCTGTCAGCAGTTAATTATCACTTGTCAAACAAGCCTGTGCCCAGATTGTGGGTTTAATTTTCGTGTAGATTTGCAAACGCCTCGTTCCTCTTATTTGACAAGACCTCTCTGAGCAGGACACACTCTCGTCGTCATCGTCGGAAAAGGTGCTTTTTTTTAAAAGAAGCTTTTTTTAAATAAATAGGTTTCCTTGGTGTCTGCGTCAGAGCTCTCGGCAGGCAACAGGAAACGTCTGGGTCTGGCTTGGCCAAGAGAAACTGAGTGACGTGGTTTCTCAGCGGGTGGAGGGAAGCTGCCAGGGGACCCGGCCTCAGCAGAGCCGGGCCGCTGGGACCCCAGGCAGCCGCGCACCCCCACCCCGGCGCATCCCCGCGTCCCTGGGCGCCCTCATGCTCCCTGTTTATCTCTTCTCTTCCCAGGTCGGCCACGTCTTGTCTGCACTCTCCTTGCAAGTCCTCCGCCTTCTCAGGTCTGCACAGGTCACCAGGGCCACGCTCTTCCTCCTCTTCCTCGAACTATCGTGTGCGCTGCATGCTGGCCACAGCGGAGCCCTGGCCAAGGAGTCAGCAGAGCCCTGGTTCCAGGCCTGGCCCCCAGCCAGGACCCCCTCCTCTGTCCTGGCTGCCATTTCTCCCGCCAGGGGCCTCCCTGTCCCCCCTCCCCCACCCTCTCCCCCAACCCTGCTCATTGACGTCCCTCCGTCCCTCCGTTTTAATCACTTCCTGCCATTTGCAAAGCGCTTTCTTTGGTTCCTGCAAACGAGGCTGCAGGAGCCAACGCTGCTGTGCGTCTCCCTGGAGGATTTTTATGAAAAAGACATGGTGGAAAGTGAAGCGTAAAAATTTAAAAAATAACCCAGGGAGAGGTGTGGACAGCAGAGAGGTAGCCAGAGCCGGAGCCATTGCAGGAGATGACATGAGGGAGTCATCAAGGCTATTATTATTATTATTATTATTATTATCATCATCATCATTATTATTATTATTTTGGCACTGGGGATTGATCCCAGGGGTGCTGTACCACTGAACAATACCCCCAACCCCAACCAAAGCCTCATTAATCTGCTGAGGCTGGCCTCAAACTTGCCATCCTCCTGCCTCAGCCTCCTGAGTGGCTGGGACTACGGGTGTGCACCACCTCGCCCAGATAAGCAAATTATATTCTAACTAAGACCAGTCCCGGCCTCTTCTTGGTGTGCTGGTTTGGCCACCTCTGTGATTTTTTTTCCCTCCTTCCTTTTCTTCATACATCCCTGGGGGCTCAGCTCCACCCCTACCCAGAAAATCAGGGCTGGCACCAGCGGAAAACTCAGAGGCAGCTGATGTAAAAGCAGCTGTGCTCAGAGGCCCCTTCTCCATGGGCTGTGAGCAGAGATGAGGGTCGTGGCTGTGCAGGGGACAGTGCCAGGCTTGCCCTGAGTTCCCTGGGGAGGGAGGAGATGGAGCTCAGAGTGACCCTGCCCCCCCTGCCTCCTAGACACTGGCCCTTCCCCCACAGTCTCCGACAGGACAGGGGACAGGTGGATTTTCTCACTGTGACTCCTATTTTCAGCCTTGGATTTCCACACAGATTACTTTTGCAACTTCCTCCTGATCCGACAGGCATCTGGGAATCTGGTGCAGCCTTTAGTCTGCCTCTGGGAAGTGCCCAGTTTCCTCCATATGTCCCTGAGATGCTGTGGAAGGACAGCTCTGGGTGGACACCCCCAGCCCTGCCTCTGCCCTGCCACGGTGCTGCCCAGAGCGGCGTCTCCTGGTGACTGGTTACCCAGGCAATGTCCAGTTTACCAAGCCCCTCAGACCCCACTTCCTGCGAGTGAGTAGGACAGGGACCATCGTGGATCTCATTCCACAGACAGAGACACAGGTAGCTGGCCTGGCTGACCACACCCGGGGTCCAAGGGAAGAGACGGTCCTGACCCCAAATCCCAGGTACCCCTCCCTAGCCAGGAGCACCTCTGTGAGGCTGCTCCTGGTGACTCCGGAGCACAAGTGGCCCGATTACTCATGCCTGCCCCTTAGCCAGGAAGATCACTCACTCCATAGGAGGCAATTGTAGTTTTATTCTACTTCACTAACGTCTCCTTATGAGAGACTCTTCTAACCAAAATATAAATTTGGAGGATAATTAAAGAATAAAATATTAATTGAAGTGTCATTTGTGATAGCAAAAAGTGACTCCATCCAGATTATATAAATAGAAGACAAGTTGCGTAAATCATGGAGCAATAATGAAATGAATAGTTTCTAAGAACACATCAGGAGGTGAAACAGGGCAGCCTGGAACACGAGGTCATAAAGTCTTAGGTCTGCATCTGACCACGCGGAGGACACAGCTGGGGTCGCCAATGATCAGTCCTTCTTCAGGGCCACAGGACAATAGCGCGTCCCTTGGTCTAGATCTCAAAGGTAGCCAGGACGCTTAAGTTGGTCAGGGAGAGAGAGATGGATAGAGGTGATGAGTGTCCCTTCCAGGAGGGGGCGTTTGAGAGTCACCTTAATGCTCCTGTCACAGGAATTATAGAAGCACATGTTGAGATGTTGGCATCTTAAGACAGGGAAGCCTGGGAGTCCGTGATGAGTCCCCCTGCTGACTGCAGCAGACAAGTTGGGAGAGCAAGAAAAGCCTGTGTCAGTTCTTCGGGACTTGCTTGTTACGGCACCAGAGCCTCACTCACCCTGACTGTTTGGTGAAAATGAAACCTACGTGGGTAGACAGAAGAATGGATGAAAAAGACAGACACAGCTGCTGCCTTTGGGAGGCAGGAACGTGGTGACTTACACGCTCTCATACTTACCATTTAGCTTCACAGTCAGGACACATCGCTTCTGTGAAGGGAAAGGATCGATGTTAGTAACAAGAACCCCTGGCCTGGTGAGGCTGTCCTTGTGCCAGGCTGTTTTCTCTCCCTCCTCTCTGGCTGCTGGGACACTCAGCTCTGTCCCACCCAATTAGCTCTTATAGATCCATTTGCTCTGCAATCGTCCATCCTGACATCCCCATTTGCCTCAAAAGGAAGGGAGAGGGCCAGGCAGGCCTGCACGGAGAAGCACTTAGGTGCTGTTCTCGGTCCTTCAAACCAGCTCAGGCATGCTGCTTGCCTCTGGGGACCCCTTTCCTGTCCCGTATATAGACCAGCTCTGCCCTAAGCCCCTGGCCTTGCAAAGGACTGAAAGGTTTTGCCAAGTTCCGTTCAACTGCAGCGCCTGGGTGACTTCTGGCTCCCAGCCTGCCATCCCTGCAAAATCGGGAAGAGACAGCCCTGGGCTTGCGCGCTGTGACCACCTGTGGTCCAGGGGAGGGTGGCCAGCTCAGCGTCCTGGGACGGTGGGGCCTGGGGTCACCAGGCTGACTTCCCGGGGTGGGCTGCGCACGGAGCATGGAGAGGAGGGTGGGCCTGGGCAGCCCCCGAACAGGGAAGGTGTTGGGGGACCGCACTGCAAGCCTGGGAGCAGCCAGGAGGGGTGGGGCCAGGGGAGGAGCCAACCAGCCTCACCCCCGCTGCAGGGGCCTCTGGAACCGCCTGCGCTAGGAGGTGCTCAGCCCGAGGCAGCTCCGGGCTCCCAGGGTCCCTCCTGTCCGCTGGCTGGTCCCGCCTCCTTCTCGACTTGCAGGTCTACTGAGTTTCGATGCCCGTGCTCAGCTGCGGTCTAGTTCTGCCCACGTGACGCGTCCGTCCTCCTATTTAGCTGCTGATTCTTTCCACTGATTTCCAGGCGGAAATGTTTCCCCGAGTGCCCTGGAGTGGGGAGCCCGCCCCTTGGTGATGAGCACCAGGTGGGAGCGGCTGGCTGGGGGCCTGTCTCACTGTGAAAACAGCCTCATCTGTGCCCTCGTCCTGGGCTTTGCTGGGGACAGATGTGAACCTCCTCCTGGTCCTCACTGGGGACCCCTATGTACCTTCTCCTGGTCCTCATCTCACATGAGCTGACCAGAGAGAAGTCTGTGCCCAATCACAGACAGGTGCCAGCTCCTCCCCTTGCAGCAAATGGACACTCTTGTCACATGGTCTGCCCAGGGAGAGTCAGTATTATCTTAACTAGAGTTTTTTTACCATCCTTTATGGTAAGTCACCATCAGCAAGCACTCATTGAGCACCACCTGTATGCCAGGCCTTATGCTAAGCTCTGGGCTCAGAGTATGTTATTGAATATGAATTGGTCATGCCCCTCCCCTCTGGGCCCCCTGTGTGGCTTCTACTTGCCCCAAGATCAAGTGCAGATGTTTCTCCATGGCACCAGGTCCGTGTGATCTATCCCCTGCCCACCTCTGCAGTTCTCTCTTCTCTCTTCCCTGCTCTCTGCTGTTTCTCCCTTGAGTTCCCCCAAGCCCCTTTCTGTCACAGGACCTTTGCATATGCAGTTCCCTTTAGTTAGCATGTCTTTTCCTGCCCTCCTCTCACTTCCTTTTCATCTTTGAGTCTCAGCTTCTCCTCACCAGGTATCTCCACCCCAACTCCTTGTTCCCCTGTCACATGTCACCAGACAGGGCACCTTACAACTCAAGAAGCAATTCACAGAGGCCTTGAGGTCTAGGGACATTTTTCTGACTGGCCAGGTTTGGTCAGGGGCTCCTCTACCCCCTGTCTTCCACCACTCCACACCAGACCATTGGCTCCCTAACAGTCAGAACCTTGTCCTGCCCACCCTCTGTCCCCTGGCCCAGTCCAGGTGCTGGGCGACACCAGCAGTCGTTGCTACAGCTCTTGCACAGCCGAGCAGAGATTTATGTCTAAGTGTAGGCCCAGGGCTCCTGAGCAGGGTGCAGACAGTAGGCAGCGGAGGCCGTGAAGGCCACGCTACCTGCACTGAGCCCTTGCAAAGCCAAATGTCCAGGGAGGCCAGCCAGACCCGGCCTGGTGTCCTACCTACAGTCCTCCCCTCTCATTGCCAAGTCACATGCCCAGAAACACCTGAGACCCAGGCAGCAAGGGAGAGAGCTGCAGGTCTGCATGGAGCCGTGTCTCCAGGGCAGGCAAGGAGCCCTGTGACCACGCATCTATCACAAATGCACCCTCACCCACGTCAGGGTTCGACTTCCCATCCATCCCCTTCTTAGTCCAGATCTGTGGCAAAGCTGGAGACCTGCTTAGGAGCTCTAAGCCCATCCCCCTCCCCCAGAAATCAGCTGGACACTCCAGATGAATCTACCTGGGTCAGACGGGGGCCACCTAAGGTCATGCCCCGAAGTAACACCCTCCAAGAGTCTCAGACTCTTCCTCCTGTGGGGTGGCCAAGGACAGACTCACAGTGGCCACTTGTCAGGCCTCCAGTGCAGGGGCAAAGCCTTTCTGGTGGCCTGTGACATGCGGTTGCAAGCCCAGGTTTTCCTGAGGACACGCTGCTCTAAATGAAGCTGACCAGCTCCATCCCCAAGCACTACTTTTTGAAGAAGAGGAAACTTTCACATGTGCCTAGTCCTGACAGTCTGGAGATCACAGAGAGCAGTCCTCACTGTGTTCTAGGGCAGAGGGAACAGGCCAGTGAAGAGACAGATGGGGCTGGGCAGGTCCACTGCAGACATGCAGCTAGAATGCAGGGATGATCTTTACCAGCTTCCTGCGACAGCGAGATTCTCCACCATTATCTCAAATTCTTCGATTTGTCCTCCTCCATAGAGAGGTGGAGTCTACTTCTACCCCTTGAATGTAGAACTGGGACTCATTGACAATAGTGTGTGGTGGAGGCCATGTCACTTCCTGCCTTCCTCCCAAGGCTGCCATGCTGTGAGGAAGCCCAAGCCGCATGAGGAGGCACAGGTCTCGGCATTCTCAGCCAAGTCCAGCCTTCAAAGTCATCCTCTCAGCACCAGGCACATGAATGAAGAATTCTCTGGATGCTTCCAACTCCCTACTATTCATGTCACTGTTGGCCATTAAGAGTTTTCCATCTGAGGTCCCAGATTTTGTGGAATAGAGATCCAATCATCCCTACTACATCCAAAGTCCTGACACATAGACTGGTTTCTATTTCACACTACTAAATTTTGGGAGATTTGTATGAAAGATACCCAGAATACCAACCTAAGATACAAAATGATATTCAAAGTTGTTTGACTCTTGGCTTCCATCTTAAAATTCTCAGGAAATTTTTTTTTTCTTGAAAAATCTCACCAATATTGAGGGTTGTAGTTAACCATGGCTATGTGACAAGTCAACCCAAACTTAGAAGCTTAGAAACAACACAGACTTACCCTTTCTTATGACACTACAGTTGTGAGATGGTTCTCTGCTGGTCCCACATGGACCTACTCTTGTGCTGCAGTCAGTCTGGTCCAGAAAGTCAGGGAGCCTCACTCACAGCTGGCTGGTGACCAGAGGCTTCAGTTCTCCCTGCCCCTTGTCCTCCACCAGATGCAGCAGGGTCCTAATGAGGGGGTCTTGGTCAACATTCCAAGAGGACAAAATGTCTTTTCCTGAAGCCTGTGGTGAAAGCAAGCCACAGGCTATCCCGACTCAAGAGGGACACAAGTAGATACTTGGTGTTACAAAGTTGCATGTTGTGGTATGCAAATCAGGTGGGAGGAGTCTGGGGCCAGGCCTTAAAGTCCACCACACCAAGAAAGCCCTGGCAAGGCTGAGGGAGGACAGTGGTGCTTCCTGCAGAGAGTGGCCGGGTGAGTCCAAGGACCCAGGGCTTCCTCAGTCTCAAGGGGCAAGACTCCAAGACCTGCCACTCCAGAGGAAAGCAGGCCCAGGCCCCTGGCTGCAGAGCCTGGCTGCTGGCCAGTCCTGCCCCAGGTGTCGGGGAGCTGGGGCCAAACTCTTCCCTCCTCAGCGAGGTCTGCATTTGGCTTTCTAGCCCCAGGTTCAGGGCTTCGGGCAGGCACAAAAGGTGGCTCTGCTGGGCACTTGGTGGGAGGTGGGTGGCAAGTGGGCCTGGCGCAGGGTCTGGCGGGCAGGCTGAACGGCCAAGTTGAACTGAAATGAAGGGTCCACCCTGCAGAATGGGGGAGTTGGTTCCCAGGGGTACCCAGTTTGGAGAGCGAAGGGAAAGATAAAATCAGCAAGAGGAGCTTGGGGTGGAGGGCCAAGGCTGTGGGGGGCCACTCCAATGACACGCCTTTAAGTCCTGATGCACCACGGGGACCTGAAAGATCACTGTAGTCTGGCTCGGTCGTGCCCTGACTCGTGACGTGGGCTTTTCCCTGGATGGGATAGCAAGGCGTGGCCCTAGGAGCAGGTGGCACCCAGAGGGGTTGGGCTACGCTCACCTGTTCCTCTGTAATCCCACCCCTGCCTCATTTGAACGGCTTCTTCCCAGTAAAAGGGCTCAGCACGTGCTCCTCACTCTCTGTCCACGGACCTCTAAGGTGGAGGAGCTGCCACAGAACCCAAAGGAAAAGCTATTTCTGTGTCTCTGTGTGGTTATTTTGTGCAGCCGGGTCCACCTGGAGGGACCCTGAGTGTGCAGTCGTGGAACGCGACACAAGGCAGGTGAGCAAGAGGGTGCCCAAGGCCCCACCGGAAGCTTCCAGAGGTGGGGTGAGGCGGAGCCCAAACACCCAGACCACAGCAGGAAGGGACAGTGGATCAGGGGTCCAGACCAACCTTTCAAGGGTCTGCGAGCAGGATCCAGGACCAGCCCAGCGTTAGTCAGAATCCAAATTTAAACTAAATAATAATGACCAGGAGAGGGACAAGATCAGGAAAGACTGTGGGAGCCCCCAGTGCCACCAGGTAAAAATGGAGGAGGCCAGTGCCTGAGGAGGGAGAGGAACTGGGAAGACCCTTTCACAGATGAGGAAACTGAGGCTCCCAGAGCAGAGGAGCTCGCCGGAGGTTGCACAGTGGTAAACCTGGGCTACTGTGCTCCGAGGCTCAGCCCTAACCACTAGGCAGCAGAGCCTCAGCCTACAGACTGAGCAAACCTGCAGAGGTCAGAGGGGCCCAGGGACCCAGAGCCGTAGGGCCCTGGTGTCCCTGTGGGGGATGGATCAGGGACAAGCCCCGAAGCTTCCATTCCTCACAACTTATGCGAGTGCCAGAAAATTACTCCAAATAATGAGGCTGTTTGCTCAGGAAATCGAGAAGGCAGTAAACAGTTGCCAGAGTAATTAAACACAAACGGCAGACGTGCCAGGCCCTGCCGAGCCGCCAGCCCGCTCCCTCAGTGACTCCCCTCCCGGCTGGAGGAAGCCACCAGGCTGCGTGTCGAGCTGAGCAGCTGAGAGTCAGAGAGTCACAGAAGAGCCAGAGAGAAAGGGGGTGACGGGGGGCCTTGGAACCCCCCAACATAGACCCTGAGGTTACAGATGAGGAAACTGAGGCTGGGGAAGGTAGAGATCTGCCCAAGGACAAACGGCAAACCAGAGGTCAAGGTAGGCCAGGGCTGTTCCCAGCATGCCTTGCTGAGCACAGAGGTCTGGGAGGAAGGGGGGGTGCCTGGCAGGTGATGGAGGAGGAAACTGAGGCTCAGAGAGGGTAGGCCACTTGCCCAAGGACTCAGAGCAAGGTAAGCAGAGGAACATGGAGCTGAGCCAGGCATCTTTTAGTTGTGCTCTTCTGCTTTTTTCTCTTCCGTTTCTGGGTTAGGAACCCTAAGGAGGGGAGGGAGAAGGTCAGGGAGAGAAGAGGTCCAGAGGTGAGGGAAGGGTCGAGGCTGAGAAAAGACATGGGGTTGGGACCGGGCCTCGGGTTGTGGCAGTTGGTCCCTCATGGGGCAAGAAGAAGGGCCACTCACCAGGCCTCTCCAACGGTCAAGGGAACATACGGCTGGAGACCGACCGGGGAACATTCTGGGTGGTCTCCATCAGTTCACCCAGAGCCTCTGCGCCCAGAGGATGGCCCTCGTGGATTCCGCCTGCGAACACCTCTTGCTTCTTCATGGCTCAAGTCCCTGCGGGGGCCACCAAGGGCTGAGCACCCTTTCCACCTGCTCCTCTCTCCAGGCCTAATGCCTGCTCCTTCCCCTCGCCATTTTCAGACCCAAGAGGAGTAGCAGCGCCTCTATTACTGGCCCTGGGGTGCTCAGCATTCACCCAGCCCCACCTTTATGAATTGTTCATTAAACGCTCCTCAAATTACCTGATTTTGTTTCCGAAAGAGACTCAGACTCATACGGTGGGTATCAGGTGTGGCTTGACCCAGTGGCTCAAATGTCAAGGGAGATGCAGGTTCTCTCCATCTCCCTGCTCTGGCTTCTGGGATGCCAATTTAACGCTCAGGCTCCCTAGAGGATCATCCATGCCTCGCCCCTTCTCTTCCCACCCCCACCTCCCACCCTATTCCACCCGCACCTCCAATGACCCAGGTTCTCCACCGGTCACCTCCCCACATCCTGCTACTCAGCAGGGAGAAAGTCTCTTCCGGCAGCTGCTGAAGGGAAGAAAGAACAGTTTCCCTGAAGTCAGAGCACAAGCTTCATATCCCACTCAATGACACGGGCCACGCCAGGCTCCAGGGCCAAAGGCCATCTTGCTTAGGGAATGGGGGTGCACCCTGAGCGGTGAGCAGGTCACCCCACCCCACCACTTGATTAAGAATGGAGGAGGGAGGCAGGGAGGCTGGAGGACTCCAGTGGGGGCATTCAGGAGGCCACAGAGATGGCACAGGTGAGCTGGGCGCTGGCCGGGACGGGAAGGAGAGAACACAGCCACTCCTGCATCCCCAGGACCCCCTGAGTTCCAGAGTTGGCAACTGGCCCGGGTGGTCCAGGACCTGCCCCCAGGCCTTGCCAGGTTGAGTTGGTGGATAAACATCAGCAGCAGGAAGCAGGCCCGGGGAGCCTGGGTCAGCAGCTGCCCACACCCACAGTCCCAGGCAGTCCTGGAGATCAGCCTGCAGATGGAACAAAAATAAGGACACAGATGGTCCTGAGACGGGGAAGGAGCCTCCCGTGAGGAGAGACCAACAGCCATCGGCGCAGGCGAAAGGCCTGGTGTGGGTCCAAATCCCGGCCCTGCCACTCACTTGCTGTGCAACTCTAGGCAAGTTACCGATCTCTCTGAGCTTCAGGTTTCCTATCTGTAAAAAGAGGGGTCAGACTTCCTGACAGGGACCAGCCACCCAATTCAAATTCTGGGAGCAACGTGCATGGGTTGTGACTCAGAGACTTACCTCTGAGACTGGAAAGAAACTTCTTGCACTGCCCCACCACCCCACCCAGCTAAGGAGGAAAGCCCGCTCACTCCACTCCCCAGCACTGGGGGAAACTGTTGAGCCTTCTGCACCCCTTGGCCAGGTCTGTGGAAGGCACCCCCAGACCTGAACAGCAGGTGGCGCTAGAGGCAGCGCTGCAGGATGTGTTAGCAGCCCCGCCTTTGGGACCTGGTCATCCCCCAGGACAAGGACACCATTAACCCCAGGTTTCTGTTGCTGATCACAGCCTCTGGGGAGGGAGGTAGCCTCTGTCTGCAGGTATTCCTCGAAGTAGGGGGGACCACCTCCTGACCCTGCTGGCCAGCCACCCTCCATGTGGGGCCAAACTGGAAGCCATCACCCTGGTCTTGGACACTATTCCTAAGGACTGTTTGTGCCGTGGTTTTGCCAGCTCTGGGGACACCTGATGGCTGGGTCTCTGGTCAGGGACGGGGGGTGGTTCATAGGTATATTAAGGACAGCTTTCTGTGGACCTGGGACTCTAAAATCCATCGCCACACTCTAGTGGGACGTCCGTGGACCCCTGTGCAGGTCATCAGACGGAATGGAAAGGCGGCCAGCCTCGCTATTTGGATCATCTTGGACTGAGCGTAGCAACCCCGCCACCCTGGCCCGGCGAGCTCAAAACAAGGGGCTCCATCTCTGCATGTTGGGGAGAAACCACGGGAGCTGTCGGCAGGCGAAAGGCCTGGTGTGGGTCCAAACCCCGGAGCGACTTCCTGCTCCTTGCAGAAAGGGAATGAGCTTGCTGGGTGCCTGTTATGATGTTCGCTGCTGACTCGTCGCTTCTCGAACCTTCGGCCTGGTTCCACAGCTCCACCCCTGCCGGCTGCCTGCACCCCATCCCTTTGCCCTGGGGGACCTGGGACAAGGGATCTGGGCTGTGTGTAAGCAGTAACCTACCCGCCTGCTCTGATGTCCCGAGTGAGGTCTCCTTTGGACACCCAGGGGTTGGTGTCGGGGCTGCTCTTTGCCACCCTCTGTGAGACTGGACTTCTTCCCTGACAGGTCTCCCAGGCCCAGGGATGAGCTTGAGACAGAAAAAAGAAAAAAAAAGTAAAGAAAAGAAAAGAAAGAAAGAATTGCAGGAACTGAGCTCACCTCTGCTCACTTCTGCTTCCTGTCTGCAAAGTGGCCTGTTTCTCTCAGCACCCCCATGAGAACAGGGAAGGTGGCCCCAAGCAGCTCTTCCGGGCTTCATCATCTCAAAGCCCCTAGCTGCTCCCGTTAGCTCCTGCAGAAAGTACCAGGGAAGATTTTGATTGGCCCAACTCTGAACCAATCCCTGCGGCCCAGAGTGTGATCCAGTAGCCTGATTGGCCGAGCCCGGGTCACGCCTCCACCCCTGGGCTGGCTGGGGTGAGGCGGGGTCAGGAAGTGAGTTCCCACAATCAGGGGAAGACAGTGGGAAGTTTTCACCAAGGGGAAGACGGGCTCTTACTAGAAAAATAAAGCAAAAGGAAGTAGAAATTCTGCCCAGGTGTGCCAAGGCTTACCCTTAAAGCCTGTTCCTCCTGGGTGCATCCCACTCATCCTCTAGACCCAGCCCAGGAACCTTCCCTGACCACCCCAGGAAGCCCACTTATGGGTCCCACCGTCACAGCCCTGAGAGCTGGTGCAAGTATGTTTCCCCCTGGGCCCTGCCACTTCAGGTCCCCCTGGCCACAGGCAGGTTTGGGGGCAGTTTGTTGCATATCCCCCAGCCTTCCTGTGGGACTCCTGGCAGTGCGTCAGCCATCGCGGGTCAGCACGAAGGGGGAGAGGGAAGGAGGTCAAATGATGTGCAGGGCTGAGCCCACAGGTGGCCCCCAGGGCCCTTCCCGTGCTTCTGCTCAAATGGCTGCTACTGGATAAAGAGAAGATCCCTCCCATCTTACCCAGGGCTGGCTTTCGGTGCAGTCTGGGACCCACCAACCCACCCTCCCAAGCCTCCCGTGGCCACAGACAAGCCACGTCTGGCAAACCCTTCAACCCAGCCACCTCACTCGTGGGCAGGCAGGCTCAAGAAAAATTCTCGTGTGCACAGCACAATGTTGAATGCAGTACCTTCATAGAAAAAAAAAATGGAAACAACCTGAATATCCCTAAGTAGGAATAGGAAAGGAAAGAAAGAAGAGGGGGAATCAAGGGTGGGGGGTGTGGGGGCAAACATGACACTTTGGCCTTGTGAGCCAAACTGCAGCAGCTCTGTCTGTACACTGAAGGGGGTCAGGGACTTTAAATGATAAGATACAAAACAACACCCACAGCACAATACCACGCCATTTGTGCTTCTGTAAACACACAGAGCAGCAGGGCACAGTGGTACATGCCTGTGATCACAGCAGCTCCGGAGGCTTAGGCAGGAGAATCGCAAGTTTGAGGCCAGCCTCAGCAACTTCACAAGACTCTAGGTGACTTAATGAGTCCCTGTCTCAAAACAAAAAATAAAATAAAATAAAAAGGGCTGAGGATGGGGCTTGGTGGTCAAGCACCCCTGAGTTCTATCACTTGTACCAAAAAAAAAAAAAATACAGAGCAAGCACAGGTGTGTGTGTGTGTGTGTGTGTGTGTGTGTGTGTGTGTGTGTGTGTTGAGTCTATAAAGATCACATACCACATTGATAACACTATTCCAAGCGGGGAGACTGAACATCGGCAGTGATTGTGGAGGACAGAACAGAGGCGCTGTTCCTTTGTCTGAATTCTCAAACGTGAAACAATGAGAACGTCTGGGTGCAGCGCTTGCGTCGTTAAAAATAACTTTAAATGAATGAAGGAAACGCAGGATAAGCTTATTGAGACACTGTTGTAATAGCAGAAAAACAAAAGCAACCAAATGCACCTATAGGGAGCTCACTAAATAAATGATGGTGCCTATGGCAACAGAATCCCAGGCAGCCCGTGAGAGCGGCCTCACATGGGCACATGAGTGAAGCAGCACTGGGAAGAAGCCCGCACTGTAAGTAGGAGCCCATTTTTGAAAAGAAATAAAATTTTGGAGATATATATATATATATGGGCCGGGGAGTATGGGCTTTGGAATCAAAGAATTGGGTTCGGATCTCTGCAGGGAGTATAAAAACAGGTGGATCACTCCACATCTCTGAGCCTTATTCGTTCGTCTTTAAAAAGTAATAACACTCAGCTGCTTGGGAGGCTGAGGCAGGAGGATTGTGAGTTCAAACCAGCCTCAGCAAAAATGGAGGCACTAAACAACTCAGTGAGACCCTGTCTCTAAATAAAATACAAAGTAGGGCTGGGGACGTGGCTCAGTGGCCCAATGCCTCTGAGTTCAATCCCTAGTACCAAAAAAAAAAGCAATAACAATACCTACCTCCCAGGGTTCATAGAGGGCAGGTTGATCCAATGTATCCAAAATGCTTGTTTGAGCAGAAAGAAGAGTGAGCTCAGTCAGGATTGATATTTTTGTTGTTATTTACAGGGCTTCATCTGGGGAGTAGAAAGAATACAATGCTTTAGTTGTTTCCTTCAAGGATCTTATTGAACAGCGCCTCTGTTCTGTCCTCCACAATCACCCCCGATGTTCAGTCTCCCCCTTGGAATAATGTTATCAGTGTGGTATGTGATCTTTATAGACTCAACACACACACACACACACACACACACACACACAGCTGTGCTTGCTCTGTATTTTTTTTTTTTTTTTTGGTTCAAGTGATGGAACTCAGGGGTGCTGAGCCGAGCCCCATCCTTAGCCCTTTTTATTTTATTTTTTATTTTGAGACAGGGATTCACTAAGTCACTTAGGGTCATGCTAAGTTGCTGAGGCTGGCCTCGAACTTGCGATCCTCCTGCCTCAAATGCAACACACTGAGCATATTTAAAGTATCAAATTGGAAATCTTTTCACATAAATGCGTACCCAGAAACCCGCCATCACCACAGTCAAGATAGTGAACATATCTGTCACCAGCGGTAGCTTCCTCCTGCCCCTTGGTGTCCCTCCCTCCTGTTCTCCATGCCCAAGGAAGCCCTGACCTGCTTTCTGTCATTACATGTTTGTTCACATTTTCTACAATTTAATATCAACGAACACCTACAATACATGTGCTTTTCCATCTGTCTCCTTCCATTCAGTATCATTAGTGAGCTATTCAGCCACGTTGATGGAAGTATTAAGAGTTCACTCCTTTACACCACCAAGTAGTATTCCATTACAAGATTTACGTGAGCCACGTATCAGAATTATCCTCAAGCAATTCATGTGTTTATACCATTGTTATTGGGATTTTTCTTAAATTTCTGATAATTCTTTGCTGCTTAAATGACCTTTTTTTGGTTTTACATTTGTTAATGTGGTGACTGACATTGATCTTTCTTTAATCTATATAGAGTTATTCAGATTATATATTTCTTTTTAAATTTTATTTATTTTCTTAATTTATTCATACAAATATAAAAAAAATATACATCTATTTCTTGAATGAGTTGTACTAGTCTAGTTCAGGGAATTAGCCCACTGTGTGTAAGTTATTGAATCTATGCACATAGAGTTTTTCAAACAATTTCTTATACTCGTGATGTCTCTGGGCTTAAGACTCATATTGGTGGATTTGTGTTTTTTCTTTCTCTTCTCCATCCCTCTCCCATTGGTCTAATGAGAAATTTACCAATTTTATTTTTCTTTGCCAAGAACCAGCTTTGGTTTTATTGATTTTACTAATTACCTGTTTTCATTTTCATTTATTTATGCTTTAATTTGTGTTATTTCCTTCCACCTGCTTTAGGTTTAATTTGTTCTCATTCTCTAATTTTTGTAAGGTTATTGATTTTCAGATCTTTCTTTTCAGTCTCTATATTCAATACTATGAATCCTCCTCTAAACACTGCCTTAGCTGCACCCTGCAATTTTGATGTGTTCTAGTTTCATTTTCACTGAGTTCAAGATTATTTTTTATTTTCCTGAGGCTTCCCCACTTTTGATCCTTGGGTTATTTGGAAATACGTTGCTAAATTCTAAAGTTTCTAAGGGAATTTTTCAGACATATATCTATTATCAGTTTCTATTTTAATTTCATTAAAGTCAGATAACATACATTGTATAATTTGTTTTTTTTTTTAAACTTTGTTAAAATTTGTTTTAGTTAGGAAAGATGGCATGCACCTGTAGTCCCAACTACTTGGGAGCAGAAGGCAGGAGGATCACTGGAACCCAGGAGTCCAAGGCCAGTCTGGGCAGCACAGTGAGATCCCGTGGCCCTTGGTATGGTTTATCTAGGTGACTGTTCCATGTGTACCTGAGAAGACTGTGTATTCTTCTTTGGGTGGAGATTTCCATAAATGTCATTTATATTAAGAGAGATGATAGTGGTATTGGAATCTTCTGGGCCTTTACTGGTCTGTGTCATTTATGGATTAGTCTCAGTTGATTGGTCATCTCCTCCTCATGGGTCCTGGTTCATCTTTTCCTGATTGTCTACATGCCAGGTGATTTTTGGTTGGGCATCTCATTGTGAGTCACACCCTCTCAGGGGCTGGATATTTCTATATTCCTATATGTACTCCCGTGCTTCGTTCTGGAATGCAGTTAAATTACTTTAAAATGGTTTAACCCTCTCGGGTCTTGCCTAAGCAGAGTTAGGCAGGCCCAGAGGACAGGTGTTCAGTCTGGGGAAAACTCTGCCCCATTCCTGAGGCAAGATCCTGGGTGAATTCCACTCAGTGTTATATGAGTTGCAAGACGTCCCTATCTGGCATGTGGAGACAGATGCTATTCCAGCCCTGACATTTGCCCCTGGGCACAGGTAGAGTTCTCGAATATATGCCCTGATTAGAACTCAGCCAAGCACTGGCAAAGGCCCCACAGATCTCTGAATGCCTCCCCACCCTGCCCACCCTTTCTCCTCGCCAGAGCTGTGTCCTGTGAACTTCAGGTGTGTGGGTGCCCTGGACGCTCAGCTCTGTCTCTGCTCAGCCCACTGCTCTTCTGGAACCCCCTCCCCATACCGCATGCTGCTGGAAGCCTGCGGGGTGGGGAAGGCGCACACGGATCTTGCTCACTGCCCGGCTCCTGCAAACCGTTGCTGTCTTTATTTGGTTTTAGTTCTTCTTCAGCACTGGGGATTGAACCCAGGACTTCTCA